ACGAAATGTTTAATAAAGTTATTATACTAATGTAATTTAACTGCTCGCTTGTGGATCTCATTACAGGTAGACCATAACTGACAGAATGGTATATAATTCTTCTCTTATACGACTGTAATTTGGATGATGAGTGTACCGAATAGAAGAGTGTGGATTATAGCCATTTTGATAGCCACAACATGTTTTCTAAGTTTTGTAAATAACTTGTATATAACTCGCCTGTTATTCTTAAATAAATTTCATCAATTTTTAGTCGCTGGACGACATTCTGAAAATGAATGGTATCCGAAATAATTTCAATGGCAAAATAAAATAACTTTAATCGATAAAATGTGACATTAATGATTAAATGTAACAGTGAAAACTGTGAACTTTAGACAACGAAAACTTTATTTTAGTGACTATAACCTAATATCTCCCTTTCTAAAGTGATTAACAATAGAAAATCAATTTTATTAAAAATGAAAATCTCTTCTATGAAATAATTTACATTTGTTTTAATGACTTCTGAGTTGTCATATAAACGGAATGGCTTATAGTGCCATACTCGGTGAAACAGAAGATTTAAAATAATAAATGAACTGTTTGTCCCAATATGTGCGATCTGATAGATTTTTGGTGACAGAGAAAAACGTTTATCTGTCAGGTTTGGTATGTGTATTTATTTTCATAACGAAAATCTTGTCTAGCTCTTTGAGTACAGGCGACTTGAATTCGCGTCCTGAGATTTTGCGCTCTGAAAAGCCTTCGTAAATACTACGTATTGGTTATTCAATGAAATGAATGACCCAGTTTTGTCTGCTGATCTCAAATATGTTATTAATTTTGCTTGAAAATATATGGAGAGTGAAAAGGGCGCAAAATAAGTGAAATAGCGAAGATTAGAGGTGAGTGTGTAATCTTTCTGACAAAAGTTTCACCTACCTTTCTCGAACCATAGGTTTCCATGATTATTTTTTCATGATTATGATGTACATTCAATGCAAATACTATAGTACAAAGAGCGACCCTTAGTTCATTACCCTTGCTCTTCTACATATATTTCAATCGTGGGTACTCTTCCTCAATGAATTTCCAGAACCACACAATAGTTAACCTTCATACTTTAGCTGGATAGTCTACAGATACTGTAGAGCATTTGTGCGAATTTGAAGTCAAAATGATGTTCCTAAACGGAATTATGAATTTTTTTCGCAAAGAACCTCCAATTTTCAGCAAAAAAGCCGACATCAGCCGTAAAATAGTTGTATTTCGCTGACTCCTAATAGCCAACTCACGAAATTTATATCGTAAATAGAGTAGAGCCGTGGCTGCATTTTTATAAAAAGAAAAAGTTTTCATCTCTCTTAGGCCAGGAGCTATTGATATTTTACGGAAAATAAATAAATCGCTTATATCTCATGAACTCTTCAGTAAAAGAGGCGCAAACTTGGTTGGTGATCAGCATTCAGTAAGAGCTATGATCACACAAAATTAGAAGTTCCTAGTTATCCTGGTTCTTGAGTTACAGGGGTGTTGCTACTTTTACGGGATTATTTTTTGAAAAAATAATCCCGTACTCAAAGGGCTAGAGACAAATAACATAGAATCGTTTTTTAAACTCTCATGTATAGAACGTTGAAATACATGTTTTGTAAAAATCTTGTAATACAACGGTATTATTATTAGTCTCTTGGATAAACGTATAGATTTAATGGAAAAAAGCTTTCTTTCACTCTCGATCTCTCTTCAAATCCCACTGTCTCACTTTGATAACTACATATCACTTTGTGCAATCATAAACACGCGTAACTTTGACTATTTTTAATAATGACAAGTATATGTGAGTTACACAGCCGCACACAAAGTTCAGTTAAAGAGCTGCAACCCACATGACACTTTCTTTATCGTTGATATTTTGAAGTCCGACACAAAAGCACGTGCTTGAAAGTTGATTTTGTCCAGCAATTGGATGTACATATTTACGAAAGTATTCGATATATATCAATGGTGAAGTATCAAATGAAATGCAACAATCCTATACGTAAAAAATGGCTGTGTTAGTAGCAAAATATCTGTAAAATAAAATAAGCATACAATGATTTAACCTCTTAAAAACCGATAATTAATTAAAAAATTAATAGATGTCTTATCTAAATGTTGGATGCGAGGTGTGTTAAAAAAACAACATAGTGTGAAAAAGATCATCGTCTAAGCAACTACTCTGCTAAAATAATTTTGCACTTTTCAACTTCGATCCCAAAACTATTTTTTGTTTATAACATAGCCTGCACGCAGCACCATTGGAAAGCAGGTCTCAGAACGGATACATAAGCTCAATTTAGAATTTCAGTAGGCAAATGTTCTCGTAATATATCTGAATTGAAAAATAAAAATTATACCAATATCGTTCAAGCAGTGAAGAAAAAGAAGTGAAATTAGAGTTTCGAATAATATCAAAGATGCGAATATTTTTAAGTTGACGCAAGGTTATTTGCTTTGTGATAAGCCTTTTGAAACATTTATTCAAGAGATCTAAAATATTATTTTCAGATATTATTTTATTTATTCAGTCATCGCAATTACAAAAAGCATTCCATCGAATGTATTCATATAAAAACGTGCTAAAGATTTCTCAACTGGATTTAAATTATATAAATATTTTGCGCATGATAACTCTATTTTTCGGTGTCCATGTGAAAATGCACTCTAAAGCAATGCGACTTCTAAAAAGACGCGAGGTCTGTTCCTAATTAGTCCCATAATTGCGCCTCTTTTGAAGGCATACTGGAGATATGGAAGGACTCATTCCGATTTGCAGGGTGTTTATTTCGAACTGGGGCGCAATAAAAATATGTATTGCACAAAATCAATTCCACTCTCGACATGTGTGAATTAGAAAACTTTCTGAAAAGATGAGCACTCTTATATTAGGATATTACACACTTTTACTGGCCATTTCACTGTATAAAGAACCGATTATCTGATATTTTTACGAGAGTTAAATAAAGAGCATGTCTCATTCATTATAACATAAACAAGAGACATTTATTTTTCGGTAATACACTGACAAAATGTACTACATACTCTAGAAATAAAGCGACTTCATCGAACTGTCTCCAGCAAAGTGCCTTTTATGGGTCTTCCACATGTCAAGCGTCTCTTTATATGTCTTCACTGATTCCTTCTAATATCTACAGTATACCTTCAAAATAGCGCAATTATGCGACTAATTGGGAACGGACTTCGCGTCTTTATAGAAGTCTCATTGTTTTAGAGTGCAATTTCATGAGGACAGCAAAAAATTCAAGTAAATCGAATTACATGCGAGAAATATTTACGTGATTTAAGTCCAGTTGAGAATATAAGTTCATCTCGAGTATCCTTTTTATGCTCCTCTTCTATAGTCCCGTCTGACTGCAATATTGAAATATTGGATGAGCTATAGTATAGTGGTCACGCACACCTGTTTATATCTAATTCTTTTTCAACTTTTTCCAAATTACAAACATTCTTCAATATATATTACATATTATGAGTTTATCCTCAATTTCGATATCACAGTTAGCGGGCTATAGTAGAGCGACGAAAAAAGATACTCGAATACGCTCATATTTGGACTATGTAGATACATTTCGATGTATTTCTTGCGAAAGAAAACAACAACACGTGGACAGAATTGTTAGAGCGATACATCACATGAGAGAAAAACAGCTTTATTGTTCACGAAAATGAACTGAAGGCAATCACCGTCTTATTTTTTGTCTGTGCACGTATAAACCGCGTTTTTGATCATTGCAGAAGTAGACCGTATTCATCGAAGAATCGGTAGTCTACCACTGTTCTGCAGACTTTGGGAAGGTTTTCAAATATCCCCAAGGTACTGGGATCCAGTGATCGACGAGCCGAAACAGACGCCACAGGGAACATGGTCTTTTGAAAGAATCTTACAAAATGAAAGAATGAATACTCTACTACGGTTCATATTTCCGTGAAAGTGTCTCGTTCCATTTCATGAGAGAGAAGAAATTCAATATGAAGACTCAATTTAACGTATATATGGCGTTTTACTCTATGCTGCCGAGTGACATGTATGCATATTTTAATGTAGAAGATGACACTTTAAGTGGTATTTAAAGAGAATAGCCACCGATTTTGTAAGTAGTTTATCTTTTCAAACCTATCTGATAAACTTGTGTCGATAAATAACCAACTTTGTGCCTGGTAACTAATTTAGATTAAAGCGTCTGTCTGTTAACCTCTCAAAATGAATTATCAAAAAAAAGGATGAATGTGTCTTTCGTACATGTGTTCGGAATATGAATGGGACACAAAGTGCAAATATGTACATGTTTTGCAAATTGTAAATGAAGTCATTCTTGTTATAATTGCTGTAGTAAACCGTACCTTTATATAAGAAATCTTTGTGCACTTATGTATTATATCGATAGCCTTAGGAAAATCGGAGGACTAGGGTTAGAGTTGATAAAACATGGGATAGGTAGTTTGTCGAATTTACTAAATGGGTTTGATGCTAGCCAATAACACAATTTCGAGGATACCACACGGAAGCCGAAATCTGAAGTCTACGCGTGCTCATCCTGACATCAAAACTATATTATTGTACCATTTGTAGAAACATGCTTTCCTAGTTGATGATCAGCTAGGCAGTTATTTTGCAATGTCTCATGTCATGCGTATTATGAAAATTGAAAATAAACATTTGAATGTAACTTTCGATGGAGCATTGTTTTCCTATTTAGAAAAAAAATGGAATTACTGACAGTTACGTGTGCATTAAAAGTATTATTCATGCCGTTAGTACAGAAACGGCATGCAGTACATTCTGCATAATATAAGATTATCAAACAAAATGTCAATACTATTGAAATAAAATTTAAAGTGCAAAAAAACGTGAACACAAGCAAAATAAGTGTCGAAAGTTAGACATTATGTATGGTCTATTGTTGTTTTTAATACTCATCCCATATATAAAATGTTCACACTATCGTGGCGGGACTATGACGTGGAAACCTGTAAGCCCTTCTGTACAAAATCAAAGTCCTGTGTCAATTATATTTATACAACAAGGTTGTTTGATATGAAGCTTTTCTTCTACAACGGCAATAATTTTTGTTTTATTTTAGATACTTGGCGTCGTAGTAGTTATTATTGTGATGCCAGTACAGTATCGTCCAGCGGTGTAATTGGCAACGGTGGTCAAGTTTGTTGTATTTCAACAAGCTGTTATAGTGTTGGCTGCATAGCAAGTTCTAATGTGGTGTGTACTGGCTTCAGCGCCACAGATGACACCAGTTCTGGTCAAAGTTCAGTAACAGTTTCTATTCCCAATAACGTTAACATACAAGTAGCATTCCAATCATCGGCTTGGCTTTCTACTTTGGGAGTAGGAGCTAGTTCATCTTGGTCTGTTTCAGCATTAATAAGCACTGTACCAAGAGCTGATGGTAATAATAAATCATTTCGGTGCTAAATAAAAAATAATTCGTACAATAAATAAACTTTTAGGTAATTACAATACTGCTCCAGTTACTTCGATGGTCGCAATGAAAACGTTGCGGAATGGTTTTTATTATACGTGGAATATTCCGGTTGCTGACACCGATGGTGATATTGTTCGGTGTCGATGGGCTCGCTCCGGTCCACCGGATGAATGCGGAGGGTATAATTTAGAAATGATCAAAGCGAGATTAGTTATCAACATATGCCTCCTTTTATTAAATTTAGTATATGCAACGGATTTCCCGGTTCAACATTGAATTCGAACACCTGCATTATGACGTATACTGCTTCTAGCAATGGGACATGGGCGGTGGCATTAATGATTGAAGATTACGAGTTTACGTGGCAAACAACACCGTTATCTGCTGTACCTTTGCAATTTTTAGTTACAGTTTATTCATCGTCCGCATCATGCACAATTAGTTAGAGTTTATTTCTTTAAGCGTAACGGGCTACTTCATTGAATTAAATCATATATCTCTTTTAGTACCCTTTTATTACGGAACACGAGCAAGTGGTGCGTGCGTGGGCGCTGACATCGGGACAACTATCTCGGATACTGTTCAAGTTCAAGTTGGTTGTTCTGGCGTTACACTTACAGATATCTTAACAAGTACTCCCACTGGTAAAAATATAAACAAATTACTCTGAGACACCATTCTATTTTTTTCATTTGACTGGAATCGTTTCGTCGCAATACCAGTAAAAGAAATGATGAACTAATTTAGGAATGTCGCGTGGATCAATTATTCAAAATTTAACAAATCCTGTACAATATTCGATGCAAGTAACATGGACTCCAACATCATCGCAATGGGGAACAAATTTAGCATGTTATACGCCAGTAAATAATCTTGAGTTGTTCACCAACTATTTCTCTTACTACATTCCTCTTTTTTCTTCAGGTGGATAGCATTGGACAGCAAGGCACTACCGTAAGAAAAACGCATTTATTATTAAAAAATTTCCTTTTAATCGTCATTCTGTAGGTATGTATCACTTATTTGGTGGGTATTAGTGCTCCGCAAATGATCCAGTCATCGTATGTCAAGTAAGAATTTTTTGTTTATTTTGTTTCTAAGGACTCTGATGGAGAAAAATTCGAACAGTGTTATCATGACATCGACGGATCGTTATAAAAATATATACTTCAATTATTTTAGTGGTACGATGTCGGCAATTGGAACTTTATATCAAAATCAGAATGTTTGGCGTGTACAATGTACAAAATCTGTTAATCGACCAAGCATCGATGCTTATATTCGATTCTATAAAAAATCAAATAATACACAAGTTTATTCGATAAATGCACGAACAGATATGGCCAATGTTTTGTATGATAACTTCACACTGATTTTCTATACGTCAATGACATGGACACCAGTAATTTGTTCGTCATAATAAATCACTAGAAATCTTATTGTGTATATCTATGCTATTTGTAGGGTGAAAGTTACTATATTTTATTCGACAGGTATAGAACATTAGCATAGTATTCTGTCGTGTATTTAGTATCAATTTCTTATTTCAGCGGCGTTGTCAGCGGTACACAGTTTTGCGGACCACAGAGCGTCGCGATTGTTGATCCCACCTTTTGGACGTTCACTATATTCAATTCTGATATCTATGGAGCATCAACAGGCTTAACAACTACCATATCTACCACAATAATACCTAATGTTACGACACTACCCATTGCGATAGTTACAGCTCCTCCGGGCGTTGCAACAAGTCCCATTACAGTTCCAGCTTCGACAACAGGATATACCGGTAGTGGAACATCTTCGACGGTGAGCACTGTGACTACGAGGACAACCACATCTACAAGTAGTAAGTGTTTGTTTCACATTTTAAAGTTGAAGTCGTCAAGGGAATTTTATAACAGAGCCATTAAGGTTCTTGTTTTTAAAATGAGATTTTCAGAAATTTATTTCACGAATTGTTTAGATTTTGGACATAAATTTTTTCTCAGATAGCAATACGTCAAAAACTAAAAATATTTGGCTCTGTTATGGAGTTTTTTTTATGGCGACGAATCGAAACCAAAGCAGAGCTTTTCAGCTTCTACCCTTGATATGAAATCTGCTGACTTCTAGTTGATTCATTTTGACCCTTATTTGGGACATCTCTAGTGAGCGACGCTATATCCGGCCTTGAAAAAACTTTATAACCATATTTTGCGACATAGTCAACATGTCCTGAAAGTTTGAAGAAATCTTATGATTGTTAAGAAAGATTTCTTACATAGTGGTGACCGAAATAGAAATTGCTAGAGGACCGATCCTTATAAGACTTGAAATTGGCCCATCACGTTTTATTGCTTCAGTATGTTCAAAATACATCAAGACCATTTTATTCGACGATTTCACCCCTTCTGAGCGCTTCTACTATTGGAGCCAAAAACAAAAACAGTGGTTGTTTTTTGAATAACTTAGCATCAAATAACGATAGAGACTTACGGTTTTCATCATTCGATAGCCAAGACTTGAGGCTATCTTTTCACAAGCAAAGCTGATATTCAGAAAGATTTTCGAAACCGATTTTCCAGAGGATCTTTGGAAAGCTAGCTTTGATTTTTTGAAATTCAAATAGGAATCCATTGATTTTTTTGAGGACATATATAGTTCGAAGTGTCCTCTACAAAACTGAATCTAAGTGACATCTTGAAAACCCATGGTTCGAGAGCTATGGACATTTTACCTGAAGCCTTAACATTCCTCTGCCGTTAGGTTTGGGACTGTCAGAAATAAATGAAAACATAGGTGATCGGCTATGCTAAATCTCGTGGAAATGTTAGTTCTCAGAACAAGATGCAAGAACTGAGTGAAAACCTATACTAAGTGAAATAACCCATTTTTGATTATTTTCATCAAAAATTGAAAAATGCATAACTCAGTCAAAATCCATCCAACCTACTTCATAATGTCGGCAAATACTCTATTTTATCCGCTCATTCTGATTCTGTACGTAAAAAAAATCAAGGAAAAATATTCGTTTAGTTTTTGAAGGTTTCTGAGAAATCTTCAAGGGTGAAAAAGCGGACTCCTGGACTCCCATGGACTCCTATGAACTCCTATGGACTCTTGGACTCCCATGGACTCCTGAAGTCTAGGAGTCCAAGAGTCCGCGATTGCCCCCATGGAAATCATTCAAGAAAACAGAATATTTTATTATTATTTTTTAAAAATTTAT